AAACCAATACATGTCATTATGTTATTCGAATACTATCCTGTTACTGATGCATCCGAATATCTGTCTGGTCTAATAAATGAAATTAAAAATATAGGTACATAAAATCTTCAAAAGGATCCCAGTCAAACGGAGTCCATTCTGAAATGGAATTATCCTATCATTTCGCATCACGGGAATAAATTTTCCAATTTCCAACTAAACTGGTGTCTCCGCTGCGTCATTAAATGGTCGGGGCAATTCCCGGGCAATCCATTACATAGGGAAAATTTCTCATTGCAATAAAAACCCGATTTATATTCGAAGAACAAATTCGCCTGATAGACGCGGAAAAATATTAATTTCCGTTTAATGTTCTGGCACCCGAGTAGGGAGAGAAGAGCGGTGCTCTGAGAGTTCGACGGGTAGCGCCATCTAGTAGCGAGTAGAGATACTAAACTCTTAAATTTTGATATATTTCTTATAAAAGGCAAGGTGCTGTTTTAATAATTTAGTAAATACATTTTAAGGAATTTTATTTATTTTTTACTGTGTATTACGTCCATAACTTTTGTAATAAAACACTGATAACAGCCTTATTAAACCAGATTAATCCTATCTTGAAATTTCTGTAACATTTTCAGACTTCAAAACCTCAAAATGTAAAGTAATCATCAACTAATTATAAGCTTAGACTGTAGACGTAATAGCTCTTTGACTGTCAATTGTTTTTATCTGATATCACATATCCGAAGCAGTGACAGATACAGCGAAAGACGAGGAAACTGAATGCCAAAGATATGAATGCCCGAGATTTATAGTACGCTACTTCGCTCGAATAAATGATAACGTATAGCAACCGCGTGTGATGTAGCGTCCCGTAAATGAAAGAATTTTCGTGATCTGATCAGTAAGTATTTCCGAAGATTACTCCTACAAACAAACAATGTTAGAAACGTAGTTTACCTCTTTATAATTAGTATAGATATGGATTAACAACCACAGGTGGTTTTGTTATAAATCCTAGACAGTAAATAAAGGCACAGACACTAGTCTCCTAATGATAGGAATTAGTATTTCTATATCTTCGCCCCGTTCCCTTGCGGACTAGGCAGAGAAGAGAGCGCCAAAAGGGACGTTCTTTACATTCATCTTTCACCTCCTCCACTTACATTGATCTATTCATATACGCTCGCTTCTTATGGCACCTGATATCACCTTCCAAAATCTTTGCTGATTTTAGTATAATTATAGATTACCTTTCAACTACCAATATCTGTACAAAAATACGTGCTTATTTATTATTACTATTACGAGTAGAACGTCCTATTTGTCGGTGACGTCACTAAAGTTCCTGATTTCACCTCGAACAGATAAATGGAATGTTAATAGGATCGGTTGGCTATCTATAAGCAATGACTGGACTACAACAGTGGGTGTAGGCTGCTGATAACTTCCGATCAACGAATACTTTAGCTGATTAGTCTGAGATGGGAAATATTTAATAAATTCATTTTAAATTACGATTAATTATACTAAATTGAAAATATCCCTTAAAAGTGCATTTATTTACATGTTGTTTTAAACTTTTATGGTCATTAACATTATAATTATTACTAAATTTGAAAGATTGCGCTATTACAAGTACAACAACCCCGAAATATCATTGTAGCAATCCACTTTTTAGCATTAAATATATACATAAACATCTCATCTAACGCTGTGAACAATTTCAACAATAATTATAAAATTACAATTTAACACGAAAGAGACGGTCCCTCGAAATATATGTCCGCGTAATCGCGTCATTAATATTCGAGTCGTGGTTGAATTAAAAAATAAAAATTGTGTATCCAAACAATAATTCGGATGCACGCGGGCGTAATCTTCGCAACTGCTCGGACTCTGACCGGTCACGTAAAACGAAACGTCGGGAAAAATACGTCCAGAACACCGATCGGCACCGTTAGGGTTAACTGAAGAAACTTCACTTATGGGGTGTTTAAAATTTACAATAGTGAGGAGATTTAATTGCAAATGATCAATATATATATACGTATTTGTAATTTAATTAATTTGTTTGTTACGTTATATTAACAGTTAGTTATAGAAATACGTTTAAAAATATAATGGTTTTCGAAGTCGTAACCTATCACTAATTTATACCCATGTATTATTTGAATTCTACTTTAATGCCAATAAGGAAAGTCCAAAATTTATTGAGGCCGAATGATAACAAATCAACTTAAAATAAGTGTGAATTAAAGTCATCTACTTTAATAATGTTCTGTCGTTATCGTCCATCGAATTGAAATGGATTCAGAATCAGAAGCACAACTAAGGAGATATTTAATTTTAAAATAAAAAAGAAAGATAAAGTATATCCTGATTAAGTAGATTAAGTATTGCGCCCTATTGTGATCAGAAAAATATTTTAAAAAAATGTGATTCACTTTTGATAATTCCAGATTTATCGCCATTTTACTCACTCATATAAGAAATTTTTAACTACTTGATTAGAAAGGATTAACGTACCAACAATTGCATTAACCCGAAACCTAATCAGTGCCGACCAGACTCACCCTTCGCCCGTTTTTATCACGATACACGTTCGCACGCGGTCGGAATATTTTAATCTAATTTTTTTATCATATTTTATTTTATTAAAATATGGAAAAACGACCGGACCACCCTCTCGAAGACCGTCCGCGTAATGTGCATACCGCGCTTAGCGACGTATGTACCTAGAATTTTAATATCTACGTTGGTAATCCTACAGGCCGCTTCCCTCTTTATTTTTATAGTACTCTTGTTTGTGTATTTGCATATGTAATTAATTTTGTTTCATGGCTTCATTTTGTATACGTGTAATTAAGTTGAAGATCTATCGTTAATCTGCGTTATCATTATAATATTACACTGTGTATTATATTTGATTAATTTGCTTAAAAATCCTCTTTGTCCCTGACATCTCATCCCAGTGTAAATTATATTTCACCAGCGTAAATCACCCGCGTATGATGTAGCTTCCCGTAGGTGATAAAATTTTCATCATCGGATCAGTACTTCCGAAGATTAACCCCTAATAAACGAAAAAAAACTTTACCTATAATAGTGTAGAGATTAAATGAATTAGGATGTATGAAAGTGAGTTGACCTGAAAGTTAGTATCTTGTAAAAGGTAACTTGAGCATTTCCTTGTTGGTTCGCACATGTGGGAAGAATGCCTAAACTGATAATAATTCAAGTGAAAAGATGAAGAAATCGTAGGATATCCAAGAAGGAACAGGAAGTAATTAAAACCGGTGAGTATAAACAAATAAATATTAGACAACATCACTTAAAATTGCTCAGATTGCAAACTAAGTAGCTAAAATAATTATATTATGCAAATCTGAAACAACTACGTCACCACTATATCCAGACTCAGGAAATGAACTTAGGAATGTTCATTTCCTATATTGGTTGACCAGGAATCGATCCCAAAACTTCAGAAATAAAACCATACTCGGTGGATGGCGCTTAGAGTTCCCTGCCTGCTCAGCAATGATATTTATTTTATGATATTTATAGGTAGATTATCTTATATAAAAAAATAAAAGTAGTCGTCTCAGGTATTAACCATTAAAACAGCATTGACATCTTCTAATTGACTCCATAGAATCTGGTATTCCATATTATTTTGAGTTCCCAATTGTAATGATTCGATCCGTGAAATTCCATAGCATTATCCTACGGGACTGTCAGCAAATTTTCAACGTGGAATTTATGCGCCCCAGTCACCGCATCGAGTTTGAAACAACGCGCGGCTTCAGTAACAGCGATTTTTGTAAAGTTCATCAAACTTATTTGGATAATTTCTGGATTCACAATGTCACATTTATATATCAGTAATAAGGCGTCTAAATAATAATCCTTTTCTAAGGTTTCAGTACGTTTAAGGCATATGTAACGATGCGGGTCATGTTTTGATATTTTTCAATCTTTTCGTCAATAATTTCTTCCACTCTCAAAAGTATACCGTAGAAATTTTGAAGTAAAAATTAGAAGCAAATAAACAGCAGATCGACATCCCTCAAGACGTATATCAACTTTACAAAACAAATCATGTTATTGACGCCTTGTATGTATAATGGAGATTGTACAAAACATATATTGTAAATGTAGTTTTGTATTTGACATTCATTTTTCTTCACGACTAAAAACAGTATGAAAGTGTAAACATATAAAGATACAATGGAACTAAGTAATTATTGAGTTTTGTGATTAATTCAAGCTCACTTCAGTCTCGAGTCTGATAAAATGATGCATCTATTTTCAGTAATAAAATAAACTAGGTACTTCTTGTTTTTTTGCATTTAGCTGGACGAAGTTTTTATTATTACTGTTTCATTTTGGTAAATACAACAAAATAATAATAATAAAAACATTATATATCGTTGTGTGCACTACCCCATCCTAATGCCCCGGGTGGCTTTGCTTGCGCGGCAGGGTTAACTCACTTCGATTCTTTTCGATAATCACTCTTTAATAACGTGTATTATTTCACTAAACCATTGTTCTTTCTGTTAACGCCGGGTTTCTTTAGTTAACGGTCCGTTATTGATATTTATTCTTTCAGTATTTTCAGGTATATTTGAATTAAACGGTAAAAGCTTCAAATTTTTTCTTAATACTCTTTAAGTTACAATTTAAGATTACCATAGACTAGATTTTTTGAGAACTCCATTGACTGTTTAACGGTAAACGACCTACAAAATATCGCTTTTAATCGACAAGGCCGCCGATTGAACTGTCTGTACTGAACGTAATAATATACCTCTAGTTTAAAAAAATTAAACAGATGACGTTGAAATCTTATAGATTGCCATTTCGCTACGTTACATATATAACTGTGATGTAATAATAATGTTATAATAATATAAAATAGAGAAATTCTTTTATTAATAAAAATATAAAACCTGAATATATAATTTATGCTCTCGATAAATTCTTTCACTTTGAACTCCCAAGTTGCCACCAAAATGGGAGATAGCCGATACCACGTAGCCTCATTTCACAGCCAACGAGCAAGGCAACTTTTTCAATTTCCTTTAAAAACGGCAACGGCGGCGGCCAGCCATCAAACAGTGAGAGTGAGCTTACACTGGCGTTTCTAGAACGTTCAGATGTTGAGAATACACGCGCCGCACGCAAGACACAACGTGTTATCATAAAACGAAGATTGAATTTAAACCATTATCCGACCAAATTAAATCAACAAGTCTTGATTTGAAGTTTTATGTCACTGTCAATTGCAGGAGAAGTATACGCAAAGATAGTAAACGTCAAGGTAGCTGGCACACCTACGAGTTTTAGGGTCTTGTGTATGTCAATAAATTGTGGATAAATAGTGACAAATAATGATCCATAGCATATTATTAGTGACACTATAAATTAATAGATATTGGAAGATCATTAGCAAAGAAATTTACCTTTTATACTACGTAATTGTGACTTATTTATAACTATTTTCGAGGATTTTATAAAATCTATGATTTATAGTTCGAGACATGGTTTTTCTATCAACAACTACTAGATGGTACTCACCACATCGCTATAAATACATCTGAATCTTATTGCAACACAATAAAGTTTAAAATTCATCCCAAGCATCCATGAACATTTAGTAGGTGGAAGTATTTTTTTAGTATTAAAGAATAATAAAAAAGAAACTTTGAATTTAAATGTAACTTACAATTGTTCTGTGTATTTATTAGCTTTAGATTCCTACCCGTTTATTTGAAATGCCGTTGCTTTAAGCATCAAGTTAGTAGGCACAAATAATCAGAAATATCGAGATTTTCCATTGAAATGAGTGAAATAAAAGTTTGTCGTATAGAAGTTAGTCGCAATTTTTGACATCTAATTCAAACTAATACGAATAGTATTTCTAGTGTGCCTGCTAGCTAGACGTCTAGGTAAGATCTTCCAAAATTTACAGTTTCACTTATTGTATGCTAAAGATATACATCAAACTCGTTGATGTGCCTGCTACATTGATGTTCACCAAATATATTATATTTAGTTCACAAAACAAGCTTTAGTACAAAACATAAATTCACGACACTACTTTAAAAGTAAGTTCAGAGAGCACAGTCCAAGTTTACTGACATCATCAATAGTAACATGACGAGTAAAATTTTACCCGAAATAAATAAGATTCAGTGCTAATCTAAAACAAGGTGTATATAAACTTTCCTCTTACGTTTTCATATCAGAAAACGTCCTGTTTACAGGCGTCCGCCATTTATGTTAGTGTAAATTATCGCTACTGTGTAATATAATTTACTATTAAAGTATAGTAGTAGTTAGTGTTGGACAGGAATCGGATGTATTTCAGATTCTAGTACAAATTGTAAATGGTCACCATTTACCTCTACCTGTATTGTTTACGGTAATTGGTATTGTAACAGCTTTAGTTTCGACACCGAAAGAGAACATTGCATAGGAATATATATATATATATATATATATATATATATATCAACATAATATAAATTACTTATCCTAATATCCTCCTATAGGAGCAAATTCTACACTGAACTGCAGCTATTGCTGCAACACACATTTGACATAAATTTCTCACTCATCTTTTTTTGTTTGTTTTGTGGTTATTTTGTATCTTAATCAGTTACATATTCCAATTGTGTTGTTTGTAATGCAAATAAAAAAATGATATAATTATCCTCCTCATACTTATAAACGCAGAGTATTTATAAACGCGCGCGTCCTATAAACGCTAGTGTGAACGTACACTAAATGATTATAAGTATGACGTCAGAGAAACGGGCGAAGGCGCTGTAACGAGAAATAAAAAAAAATCGAAGGCGCAGCTTCCTTTTGCTCCTGTTATTGATTAAAAAAGTTTCTTAATCATTTTTCTCTTGTTTCAGATAGTTTTATCGGTATCTTTTTAATCCACTTTAGATAAGCCATAATCGAATAAAAATATAATTGATGATTCCTTTTTCTTCCCCTTGGATAGAAAACAGGGCCTACTTGAAGACGAACAATTAGATATAATAAATGAGAGGATTCATTAGGCATTTTGAATATGCCTTTGACATCTATGTTCAAAAATTTCAGACAGATAAAAAAAGGACAGAAACACCTGTCAAGTGTCTATAAAAACGAAAAAAATGACGTTTCATAGACTCCCTTAAATATTAATTTAATATGATTTTAGTATTTTTTGTGATAGCGGCAACATCATCGTCTAATTAGAGTTAGATACTAGTCTTACGCAGCAGTTGTAAAAGTGGACTAAAGTGGATCAAAGTCAAAATTCGCATTATTTAGCCCTTTACGTTTACATTTAAGAGATACCATTCAAAATAAACATTATTTTGAATTGGCATAACAAATGATCAACAAAAGTTTCTACTGAAACTCAACACAAAACTTTTTCACCTGATTCTTTTCAAGACTATATCAGGAGAGAAATTGATTGATACATAACCCTTCTCATTAAAATAGGTTTCAGTCAGCTGCCACTTATGATCTCATATAATAACAACCCTTGTAAGAAAAGAGCGTTCATATTGGTGTGTCCAAAATAAAATTTTACTATTAAACTATTGTCCTTTTTCCAGAAGCTGCACTTCCTCTCTCCTCCGTCATTCTCCGTGGAACGTGTCGTCAGCAGCAACTGTGGTAGCCGTGTGTGCGTCTGGGGCACCAGAGGAGTCACTGTGGCAGAGTTACCGTCGAGGTGGGGTCGTGGAGGACTGTTCGACTCTGGCAACCAGACGGTATTGTGCAAGTAAGTATATCACGAGAAATCAGATTCAATTAGCGTTTCAGCCCAAAAAAATATATGGAAAGACTGTAAATTTCACCAAAGAAGAAACAGTAAATGAAACGAATATTGAGATGATGGCTGATCGAGAAATATGGAAAATGAATTACGCCGATCCTAGATAAAAGCATTTACTTATGTGAGGTAAGCATATTTTAATGATTACTTTGATTGTTTTGTTGTCAACAATTATGATTAACCAACGCAACAAATTTTCTCCATAATTAATACACGAATGCTTTGTATAAACATGTGAATTCTGCATTAACCAAATTTCTTTGAAATCAAAAACTGTTGATATCCAAAAAAGAGCTACATTTCTCATCTTCTACCATATTCTGTTGAAGAAGTTTATGTTCAAACATGACCGGACTAGCCATCTCTCACAAACTCTCATCTTTAAGGATAATGGTTTTCTCCTAAAAATCTAGGAGCAGCCATAATCCCTACAGAACACCTGAAATCTAATAACCTCTGATAAGTTTGCAACAATGTGGGCACGTAAGCATCGTGTATTTTCTAGCATCACGGTAAATTTTGTTACCTATTAAACTCCGCCAAGCGGCTATAATGTTAGCCCGAGGTAACGATTACACCAAAGATTAACTTCTAGATTGTTTACTCGCCAGATTGGATGCAGCCTAAACGATAGAACGCCTATTTTCACAGTCGTCATTTTGAAAGTATATTAGTGGCAGTTAAATTATTTAACTTTTTTTAAGACGCTTTTCTTAATAATATTATTCAAAATCAATAAAGCCCTAAAGTACCATAATAATAAACAAGGAACGGTTTTTTTTAACATTATCTTTGGTCTTTGAAACGTTGATCCTTTTTTACTAAATATGTTTTATAAACTGGCTTGTAGCTTGACTTTAAGAAAAATGTGGAATATGCAAATAAAATATATTAATAAAAGGATATGTGGATAACTATCAAGTACATAGATTCAGAAATAAAATTATTGTAATTCCATCAAGAATACAATATATCTAATTCTCACTTATCTAAAAGAAAATAATGCATTTCAATAAATTTCAAATAGGAAACTAACTAGTTCTCGATTATTGCACATTGTTTCCACTCGTCAGATATAAGTAATCCATGTACCAATAGCTCATCGGCAAATTATTATAACCTCTTTACGATAATTTCTGCATTTTCACTCAACATTAAAAAAAAAAAATTTTTTTTTCGAACTAACTCATCAAAAATGCTTTTGAATTATAATCTAACTTCATTTATAGTGTAATTACTCTGTACTTAATATTTAACTCGTCTATTGATTCGCTAAAATTTGTAATCATCAGGTACCACAATCTCACCTGTAGTCTCAACATCACGTAATCTTCAGTTTTCGTTCTCGAGTCGCCACTCTTTTGTACATGTTATTAAGGGGGCTATATCTCTAAATTTGCATATTTTGCCAGTAAAATTAATTCGAAGATTTGCCCGCATCTAGACGAGCTTCTTGGGGTGGGGTAATGTTTTTGGATTTGTGCACTCGGATTGGTTAGTACAGCCAGCAAAATATTTGAGTATGTATTGCTCGTTGCGATTGTAAGACTTATACCGTTGTCTTAAAAATATTTTGTGACGAGAAGTAACGTCGCTTGAATTGTCGTCGTCTGTGCCGATACGGATAAGTCTTGATTAAATCTGGTATTGTTTTGTGTTTTATGGATTTTAAAAGAAAGCATAAATAATCTTGATGGAAAATTGATAAATATAGCTACAGAGATATTAAAGGGCGGTTTAGTTCAAAGCAAATAAAATTGCTGTGCGCATCCTCAGGATTTTAAAATATTAATTGTATTTTTTTACAATTGCATAACTTTTCATTTTATGTTCGATTCCATACTATCACTTTGTATATCGTACTCATGACTTATGGTCGACGCATATCGGACGAAAGGTGCGTCGCATCTCGTCCTAGCAGAATGTCAGAACTGACAAATCCTACTAATATTATAAATGTGAAATTTTCTTTATTTGGATGTTTGTTAGTCAATCACGCCGAAACTACTGAACGGATTTTGATGAAATTTGGTATAAAGATAAGGTATTAGCTGACATAGATAATAGGGTACTTTTTGTCCCAATAAATAGTTCTATAGGGACCACGCGGGTGAAGACCCCTGCTGGCGGAAAGCTAGTATGTGATATAACTGACGATCTAACTCAACATTCAACCTTACATACTCAATGGGTGATGCGTTCCGTAACTTATACTAACAACGGAGCTTCCGTCGAATTTGAGCCCTAAATCTATCAAGGTTTTCTTATACCTAATAAACGGTGTAAATAGTTATCAGCTTGAATAATATATATATACCGGAATAATATATAACGGCGGGTCTTCCGAAAAGGGGCTATTTCGAAGCCCAAATAGATCGTTCATATCGGAAGACTATCTTTAAAATAACACTGCAGGCGTGTATACCAACGTGGATTTTTCCATTTTATCACTTTTCTTACGAAAATATAACGAGATGAGCGTGATGTCATCTGATGTCTTTACTCCTCGGCGTTTGGAAACAGAATGTCTGCCAAAATGGCGGCAACTTGGTTTTTATAAACGAACTGTCAAAGTCAGTGTCACCATTCTAATAAATTTAAAAGTATCGATGATCACGCTCTCTTTACAATCGAGTAATTAAGTAATCGAATAACTAGCAATTAAAATAAAAGAAACTAAATCAAACGATCTTCGTAATGATGATGCGACATATATTTTTTATTTTTGACCAAAAAAAATTGATTTAGGTATACATTTGGTACTTTTGTGGCAATTGTTTTAATATTATAAAAATCAATGAATTATGAGTAGTAGTTATAGAGTTTGTTATATTTAAAGTTGGTTGTAGTTCAAATATTAACATTAATTTAAACTTGTAAAAGAAAAAAGCAATAAAAGGATGTGTCCATTAGAAGGTAGTTTTTAATAATTATAAAAGGACATACATCACAAACTAGTAACTACAGCACGGAGACTGCAAAGGATCCGGAACATATAAAAATGTAATCAAATCTATAAAAGTACACCTTCTCAAACACGTTTAAAAGAAGTTATTTAATTAAATGTAAACTATCTAAATACTATTTGCATCGTTATTTTCTCTAAAGCGGATAAGTTTAATTAGGTAAAATCTTTAGTTTGGAAACTTCGGAGTTGCCAACGCGACCGTATTAGCCATAAAACTAATATTGGCTATTAACCGTTGACGCTTAATCGTTTACAATTCGCGATTTCAGACCTTACGAGTCGACCGTGTTACGACTTTGGTTATTAGGACAGTTATCCTTTATTTGCTCAGTTGTAAACGATATTATAATCATGCTGGAAACTTATTCTTGAAACCATTGTTTCGATATCATCAATTTCATCCTGCTATTTCATACTCTATACTAATAAATACCTAAGTCAGCCGAAACAGTTCAATAGAAGTGAATTAGAAGATTTCCATTATAATATAGATTCTGAACAAACAGCATGTTAAAAATTCATTATGTCTCTATTTAAGACAGATTCACTATTTACCATTTATGATCTATTCCACATTTTATTAGAAGTTCGTCCTGTACCAGAATTCACAAATCTTCTGTCATGACTATGAAGTGTTCTATAACACTCGCCCTTCCAGATCGCTGAAGATCATGCTTATATATTAGTGTCCCTTTTAATGATCTCTAATGGTAAAAGAATTTCCAATTCTTGGTAACCTGCAACGCAAAACTAATGTTCAGAATAATATAAATAAAGTTCGGATATTAAAACAAAAAAGTAATTGACATTATCGGTGCAAAAAATACCCAAACATGTGATAGTAATGTCGTTTCTTGTATTCATAGTAATTTTTCGTTGACCTTTATTAAGCTCCAATATTAATTTTAATATTGGAAAGTCGTCTTCAAGTCGCAAACACTAATCATACCTCAGACTTATGATAATGGCAGTTAAAACTCTCGACGCTCCACGCTTGTATTAATCCCAACAACTAATATTAGCAATAAACAGCCCCTTTCGGCTAATTATGCTAAGATGTTGGGGCGAACTTCTGTCTGGAAGGACCTAGTGCAGTGTACGTGAACGATATTGAGTTACGCCACAGACTAATTAAATAATATTAGCAGTTTTTTTACATTTCTGACGAAACATGATATGTGACTCAGATTTTTTGATTAGATACTACAAAATTTACATGGAATAAATCACAAAGATTTATAAAGGTACCTACTAAATTATGTTGATAGCTTTATATTTCTTTTTAAAAATGACTTGTAATATTTGCACGTTGTCCTGACGACAAAATATGCTGGGTATTCAAAACTTGATAACAACTTATAAAACCATATTTTTGCAAATAAAGATTTTATTATTATTATTATTATTACTACTTAAATGACATAATAATTGGCTTGGTATTATTTGACAAGTGTGTTCTGCTTCAATCGATTCTATAAAATACTACTTAAAACTCTAAGAGTTATTTTATCAAAATAATTACAACAGTTTTATTAGTCGCATTAGAAAGTCGTAAGAGCCTAACCACCAATAGTTTGCTAATAAATAATTAGTAAATATTTTTTGACGTTAAATTGACGCCATCATCTCTGTACCTATGTATTTAATTACCGGGCGCAATAAGATAGCTAGAGACAGTGCTGTTTTCACGCCCAGCTTTAACCTCCACCAACTCGCACTAAAAGACGTGATGGAATATTCCCAGTTTTCCCTTTGTGATTCAATCCATATAGAAGGCCTTACAATAATAGTCTAATAATAATGATGATGATTAGAAATTTTGACATATTTTTTCTTTTACCTATTATATGTCTGTATTTTTTAGTCTGTGACAGAATTCACAACCATGGCCCAATGTGTACGTTCCGCTCGCGGCTGTATTTTCTTTGATAACCCGTTATCTCGGAGTTTGGTGCATTATGCCGCCGAATCTTTGCAAATCTCCTACTTACCGGAGTATTCCAGACTGTTCCGGAATCTAAAAGTTTTTACATAGCAAATGCACGATGCGACGATCATTGTAAGAAAGATGTTTAATGCATACAAGTTTTTTTTAATTGGTGCCGTTTTTTTTTAATATTACCGTGATTATTGGATTATCTGCGAAAATAGTGTAACATGTTCACATATTGATTAATAATACATGTCCACGCCTATAAAATTGTAAAACTACAATCTAAAGAAGCTGCGCTACTTGGTGATACACTGTTGCCAAATTTGTGAACGATTGTGTATTAAGTAAAAAATATCATGAAGATGTCATATAAATACCAAAGTCATGCATTACAGCACTATACAAAGTATCTACAACTAATTGTGAACTATAATTGAGATACACTAAGTATTATAATAAAGAATTTGACAAGTTTTCTTTTATCCTGATATATTGCTGACCTAATTTTTGTATTGTACCTAAAAGTCCTTAAAAACATTTCGTTATTGTAATTTTAATTTCCATTAAAGGTTATATCTAAGTGTGTATCTTAGTTTTTGTTGACATCTGTGATCGAGTGGGTCACATGCTGATTTCAACGATTCCCCATGTCTAAGATCCCGGGATGGGGGATCCATCGAGTCCATATAGAAAATAAGACTGGATGGTTGAGATACCTTAATAGTTTCACATTTCCACAGCAAAAGCGCTTTAACTAATTGAAATCTATTCAATTTAAATAAGGTTGTCGCACATTCTTGCTGTAAATTCGTAAGTAAAATAAAAAAGATATGAAGAAAATTCCAATACCTCTTACAAAAACAACTTTTTCGCAACGTTTTGGCCATTTTCTATTCCCATATATTTATAATAAACTTATCTCTCGCTGCGATTTTAGACTTGAAGCCGTTCGAAAAGCAAAGTATCTGGTTACTAATATGCTTCTGACATGGACTCACGGAGACACAGAAGATTTCCTGAAAGTTACTAAATGAACCCAATAATACTGCAGTATAAATAAGTCGAGATAATCACCAACACCCACACGCACGCACACACACACGCACACACACACACACACACACACACACACACACACACACACACACACACACACACACACACACACACACACACACACACACACACACACACACACACACACACACACACACACACACACACACACACACGCACACACACACACACACACACACAAACACTTACACACACATATACCACACCCACACACACACGCACACGCGCCCTATTTCGTTTACCTTTTCATTGTAACATTATTAAGATTTGATGTTTGTTTCTAGCTTATTTTCTTTTATTTTAATTTACACGCTGTAAAGTGCCGTTAACATTTGTAATTGAAATCGATCA